AAATTCCAACATACTCACAGTGCATTTTGTTACTCAACTACCCACCACAAAGATGTCCACCAAGGACAAAGTTCGCTCCACCTGTGGCCGTGAGGGTCATGACTTCAAGAATTGCACTGCTGCTTCACCACCTAAATGCTTGAACTGCAAGAATGACCACCATTCTCTTGCTGCCAGGTACCCTACCAGAAGAGACATACTCAAGAAACAACAACAATAACAAAAGAAACCCAACCCACAAGCAACCACAATATTCTGCTATCGCCAAGCTTCAAGCAGACACTACCAAGATACTACATGCCACGCAAGCTGCTCCCACCACTTCCCTGCCAGCACCTACTGCCGACTCCACCAAGATTCTTCATTGCATTATGTATGCTCATGTACAGAATGCAGCTGAGCCTGGTTCCTTCAACACCACCATCAATGAACTTTTCAAACTAAATAATATGCCTGGCCTCACATTCCCTGCATCACCACCTTCCACTGAGATCCTAAAATCTACTGCAAATATTACCAGCATCACCGCTGCTCCACCGCTGTCACAAACTCCACTAGACACAGAGATGGACCAATCAGAGACCACTGAGACGTCGGCAAACCCCACCAATGAGAGTCCACTACCGCTTGCATCCACTGCTAGAGCAACTGACCAGTCGGAAATCTTGCCTTCACCAGTTCAGCCACCAGCCAAGAAAACAAAAACACAAGAAACTGTGGATGTACCTCACGGTGCCACTGCCACTGACACTGCTGCACCACAACAAGTCCGATTCCTGAAGGGTGTATACTTCTAAACAACCAAGCAGTATAAGAACAGAATGCTGTCTTCAGAAATCCATCAGCACCTCCAGGACGGAACAGTCAAGTATACCTACGACCAAACTGTTACATACACCACTGCAGACATGACCAGACTACTCACTGCCAATACTCAACACCTTGTGGAAGTCGAGTACACATCAAAAAGGAAATTCAGGAAGGCTTCAGAATGGGGACCTTGAAGACTGTACCCTCCTCTAGCACGACTATCAATGACCATTCACCATGAAGATAAGTTTCCCCAGGACTTTGCTGTTCACTAAAGCTGGGGTGTTGCTCCAATTGACTGCTGCCTCTGCCCGACTGCGCTTTTCTTCGGGAAGTCAGCGCAAGATAGAAGACGACGACACCCTCCAACCGGAGGGCCAGGAAAGAAGAAAGAAGATGATTGTCACCCCCCCACCCGGGGGGCCACTGCCGGGTCCACCATCTGGAGAAGACCCGGGCCGGAAGTACCGGCGAATCAACATGAATGAATGAATGAAAAGTTACACCAACACACGACACTCCACACAGGAGAGCACAGTGCTAGCACGATCGACAACATGCCCTGCCCTTCTAGGGCAGGGAATGGTGCCCAGTTTTGTAGCTCACAAGATGAGGGGGGTACTTGTGCCTCCTCCCATGGGAGACTTAGGTCTCAGACACTCCCCAGACAGGGAGCCAGTGCCGGGCCACCACTTGGAAGGGCCCGGGCCGGGAGAATACTAGCGAATCTTTAACAACAACACATAACCAGACATATGAACACATCTAATAAAATAACATAAACATATGATGAGGAATGAATAGGAAAATAGTACAACTGTTGGACAGTTAAATAACCATGCCACATATAAACTAAATAATGTAGATCTTAATACTGCTGATTGCGAAAAGGATTTAGGAGTCCTGGTTAGCAGTAATCTAAAACCAAGACAACAGCGCATTTAGTGGCTTGCAATAAAGCTAACAGAATTCTTAGAGGACAGGAGGGTCAGGGAGACATGATAACGACATATAAAATACTGCACAGAATGGGAAAGGGTTTTGGACAAAGACAGGATGCTCCAGGGAGGGGACACAGAAACAAGAGGTCACAATTGGAAGTTGAAGACTCAGATTAGTCAAAGGGATGTTAGGAAGTATTTCTTCAGCCATAGAGTTGTCAGGCAGTGGAATAGCCTAGAAAGTGACGTAGTGGAGGCAGGAACCATACATAGTTTTAAGACAAGGTTTGATGAAGCTCATGGAGCTGGGAGAGAGAGGGCCCAATACAACCAGTGAAGAGGCTGAGCCAGGAGCTAAGACTCGACCCCTGCAACCGCAAATAGGTGAGTACACACACACACACACACACACACACACACACACACACACTGCCACAAGACACCGAGATATTATAGTTATACTTGTGATTCCCTTGATGCGTTACCTTTATTCAATGGCCATGTACATAGTTCTTGAAGCATGGTTTTTCAGCCATTCGTTCTCGTGCTAGTGCTCTAGTTGAAGGTCCTCCTTCAGAGGAAAGTCTTATCAGACTTGCTAAAGAAGCTCTTTATTCGATCCCTGCTGCTGTTCACGTTGTTGATCTCCTTGATACGAGACTTCAGGAATCTTACTAAGTGGTCACAATATTTAGAACTGATTCGTTCTTTCCTTGTCCCAGTAAAAACAGCTGATCCATATGTCGTTCTTAGGAACTAGTGAATGCTACAAACCCCTGAGTAATGAATCGTTGAGTGCATTTTGCTGTTAGATTAGACAAACTTTTATCATCATTTTATCAATGCTGTCCAATCATCATCTTTTTTCCCTGAAAGGTTAAACCATTCACAGAACCGTTTTCTAAAATAGCAGCTTTTGGAGCAATTAAAGAACTAATGCCACCTGCTTCCGTGTGTGCTTATGAGGGTTTATCCTCCAACTGTGACGATGGAACCACTTACAGCCTTAAATCATGTATGTTCCTTGTGCCCCCAGGGTACTTTCCCATGTATTAAAAGTAATGTCACACATATGCCTCATCCCGCACCACCTCTTTTTTGCGCCACAGAGACAAATCGTGGTGGTCAACCATCTCGAGATCCCCAAAACAGTGACAGAGTCTTATACACCCAAGTTTTCATATACATTAAAAACCATAGCGGGGGAATTTTTCAATTTGGGGTTTCCGGGGCCAATTGAAATTTAAATTGTCCTGATATTTCCCCTAAGAGACGTCTACTGATGAGATCCCCAATCTTCCCTACGTATACAAGAATACAGGACATGATAAGGGGGTCAATGCCCTAAAACCTTCATACCTAGGCTTTCCGTGGCCTTTCCCACCCGCAAACCCTAAAAAAAACGATACGTGGTTCTCAAAATAACCGAACCGGGCCATTTTTTCCAATTCTCAAACAAACCAAACCCAGGCCGTTCTTCCAATTGGGGGGAAATTGGGGCCCCCCCAGTCAAACCCCCAGGTGACATGGGTATAATATACACCATCCCCGTTCCCAATTCCTTTAACCTTAAGCATCTCGAAATGAAACCCTGCTGAGAATTTGCTTCACATTCTCTGACAAAAGATTTTGGGATGAAGGGGAATAAGTCTTTTAGACAACCACCTTTCTGTTTGCAATAATTTCCCAAATAAACCATAGCCCTATAGTGCAAAG